AAGATTTATATATCAAAACTTTAGTAGAAAGTTGTATCAAACGTTAGATATATTATAATGAATATGAAGTACTAGCGTTACGAGAGATATAAAAAACAAGAATTTCTTAAAATTCGTATTTTATTTTAAGTCTAAACGCACACTTTAGATAATTATTAAGCAAAATATCATTCTAAGTATTACAAATAATAAGTTAATAAATATGATCAATGATTTTTGTGAGTAAGGGGCATGTTGTAACATACCTCAATTTTACATGGGCATCTTTTGTAATTTAAAAACATACAATTTTTTTAATATTATTAATATGATTTATCAAAATTTATTAAATTTTTATCAAAAATATGAAATTTATAAATTAAATTATAAATAGTAAATATTAAACATTTTTAATATACTTTACAGGCCATTTGTGATGTATTAAAAATATTAAATTTATATACAAAATAATGGTATATTCTAAGAGTACTGGATAAACTAAAAGTAAAATCAATTTATATAGATAATGAATATCCATTTTAAAGATGCAAAAGATATCGAATGTTTTTTTAAAATCTATTTTACACTTACTATACTGAAACATTTTTGCAACACTATATTTTACTATGAATATATAACTTTTTACACTGGAATGTTTGTAATTTTGTGACGATTATGACAAATATAGTTACCACTATTATAGTGCCATGTGAAAATGTAGTGTTACGAAAGATCACGACAAATGAAAGTGTATTTTTTTCTTCTTCAAAAAGTAGCTTTTTATACAAGAGTGAAACATAATTTTAAGCAGTATTATTTTATCACCATACTGGTGCCAAAAACGATATTTTAAACTATGATCATATGAATTTGTTAGGAGGCAGCTTAATTTTATTAACTAAGATTTTTATACTTAAATTTAAGAAAGTTTTACTAAATATGAGATTATATGAAGAAAAAACAAAAATCGTAGCATTTTATAAACAAAATTATAATATTTTTTATTTAGTATTATTTTATGTATAAAGAAAAAGAAAATACAAAAATTCATACTTTTGTAGCGCAAGTGCTTTTATAACGAAGAAAAATTACAAATGTGGTTTTTGATAATGAAAATGAGACGATAATATAATGAGATTGTGATGTAGTTAGGTCTTTGTAATAATCTTATATCTTGTATGTAACTCATCTATAAAAACTATTTCTACTCCACGTATGTGTTTCATTATTTTGTTTATATATACAAAAATATTTTTACCATTTTTATCATTTCTTTAGTATTACTTATATTTTAATATTATATAAAAAAAAAACATACATAACTTTGAATTAAAGAATTCTGTGATCAAGTGCATATATAATTTTTTTTTTCTTTTTCAGTAAACTGATAATAATAATAACAATAATAAGAATGATAATTATAATAATTGACCTCGGTTACTTTTTCCGACTCTATCCCTTGGTATTAACCTGAGCTCCATGCCATGTTTCAGAAAAATATTACCTGTAAAAATAAGATTTTTTATCTTTATATACGCTAAACAATGATTAATAATTATTGATGAAAATTTGTTTAGAAATATTTGTTCACGTAATTAGAGTTTCATCGATGTATTTTAAAGACAATTTCAAAATGAAAACAAAAATTTAATTTCATTGTTGTAAAGCGTTTTTGTGAAAAGTAATTTTAGTTGATATTGTTATTTTTAAAATGTTATAATACCAGCAGTTTGTTGTGGATTAATTCCAACACCATCGTTGGTGATTATCGCAGAAGTAGCTGGAGTAACTTTGAATTCTTCAGCCGCAAACTTCAGTACAGCTGTAAACGGTGTATCTTCTGGTACGCTAAGCCTATAATACGATATGATAGCAATATTATATAGAAATCAAAGTGGACATTTTATAACCATTGTCAAGACACAATAGAAAATCAGTAGCTTTATATTAAAAAAAAAAAATTTTATTTCAATGATTTGGTTATTCTTTAGGTAGATAATTATAAATATAATACATCATTTACAAGATCATTATAATAAAATCTCGCAATATTGTTTTTAATTAATTCTGATCTTATAAAACACAATCTCTTTCTATATCTTTCCAAATTTCATCCAATTCTTTTGCTATTTTAATTCTATTAATTATTAATATATGCAATTCACTGGGACCATCTAAAAAAACTTTTATCATATTTTCTAAGTCACTATAAGAAAATCCTGTATTTGTAATCCATCCACACTCGTGATCATATTCCATACTTCGTCCAAAATAGAAAGTCGAGTCTACAAAAGTAACTTGAAATTGAGAATTATCTGCTAATAATTTTAACAGAACTTTTCTTTTGGTATTTTTCAACTCCAAGTATAATCGAAGATGATTCTTTAATAGCTTTTTTGAGAATAAATTTAAAATTAAAATATTTATTGAACTTCCTGTTTCAGATTTATAAGCTAATTCAATGAGTTTTGAAAAACATTCTTTGTTAAACATGTCCGCTATATATTCTATTACTTTAATTTTATTACCAAGTTTAATTTCAAAATCCCATGAAGCTATAAGTATTTCATCCTCGATATCAGTTTTGGAAAATTCTAAATTCTTAAGGGCTTGTAATATAGCATTTGCTTGCATTGATTTAGTTAATGTATAATTGATGCTTGATTCTAGCCTAACACTTCCACACTGCTGAATATACATTTGTAAAAGTTCATCAATGATTATAGTGGAAATTTTCTTTTCTTTTAAGCAAAACTCTAACATTTTATCGCACGCATTTTTTAGATCAGAACATCTATAATTAATATTTTTATTCTTTTTTAACATCCATGCGCTTAAATGACTTTCAAAACAAGCTTCTTTTTCCTCTTCTTCAATCTTTCTAATTGTATTTTCAATGTATATACAGGCTTGAAAGATTTTTTTCATGTATTCGCTGCTTATGTTTGTACAAACTTCAGGATTTTCTAATATTTCATAGTAGAAGTCAATAGTTTTTAATATTTCATTAATATTTTGGTCCATTCTTGATTTAATAGAAAAATTACTATATCGGATATACAGATACAAATATCAATGTGAAAAATTCCTTTAATTACGAAGAAAAGAAAAAGAATATTTAACATGTATTGACAATGGATTTCTAGCTGTCATAGTCGCTTAAAAGAACCTACACTTTGAACGGTAATTTTGGATCCGATGTTAATGTAATCTTAAAAGTCACCTTGGGCCTGTAAAAAACATCATAAATTTATTACAGAATTGTTTATTGTATAATTATGATAAAAAATTATTATATTAATTTTTTTAAAATATTCTTTATCCATATATTTAATTATCACTCGTTCTATTAACTTCTAATAACAAATCAATTTCATCTTCAAAATTTTGAATAATTTTATAGAAACATATGTTGCGAATGTGTCATGAGAAGTTAAATACACTTATAATTGGATATTCAAAGATTAGATAAAATTTAAAGATATATATATATGTATATGCATATGTATATATATATATATATATATATACATCTGTGAATATAAGTATGGAGAGTAAGATGATAAAATAAGGTATACTTTTGCGGAGGTGCCATTATCAGCGAATTTCGTAAATAATTATTCAAATCAAGGCAAATACATAAAGTGCCCGTAAGTTAACCTAAATATCTCGTTAATGCAACTACTGGCTACGCATACTAATGCATTGGTAAGGTAAACCTGTCTACCAATGCCATTTGAATTTGGTATTAAAAGTATTCGCATTTGTTAGCGACATCTTACGGGGTAACGTGGAAACCTTAGTTTTACAATGAACACGAGTGGGGTAGGTCAGACGGTCACACGGTCACACATGTGCTTGAAATCTCCAATTAAAAGATTATCTGTGAAAAGGAAAGGCAACCAACTCGTGCGATTAGATACTTTACGCCCAAGATTCAAAGGATACAAACGCGCTTTCTTGGTTGATTTATGAAACATATCATAAGCAGTGAGCTTGTGTGTTTTAGTTAATAAAGTACATATTATATTACATAAAGTAAGTTTGTTAGAATAAATATATGAATTATGTAGTTAAAGGTAAATAGCATATTAAAACAAACGTCAAGCGATGTGTGATTATAATTAAGATTTTATACTTATTATACGTAAAGTGAAAAGATAATATTACATTATTATATATTTAATAGGAAAATTAAGAAGAAGTTCTATTTATTTATTTATTATATTTATGTATATATTTAGTTTTTTGTTTGTTTTTGTTTTACTTTATCATTTGGAGATTTAAATAAAAATAAGGTATTTTTTTTACCGTTCGTCTCTACATTTCTCTATGATTTGAAAAACATCTCTTGAGATTTACTTACTAATTATCTAGCAGTACTGGAAAGTTGATACATATATGATAAAGATATAAGATAAAATAGATGATACTTCAATTTTCATCTATACAAGCGATAATATAAATTGATAATATCTTAATTGATGTTTGGCACTGCATTAGCGGGAGACCGATTTAAAATTAACGTAAGCCATTTTATCAAATATGAATGATATTTTGTATATTATGTCGGCGAAATAAATTCAATATTCACGGGCCTCGTGTCGCTTAAAATTACAATTATCTTACTAAATACAAATTTCTATGACTTCGAGTAAAAAAAAAGAAAAAAAAAAGAAAAAAAAAAGAAAGATCTTATGACTGTATTATACGAGGAATACGATATCAATATAATTATAATTAATAAATGAGATTGACAATATAATGCTGAAATAATATCGGAAAGACTTAAATAAAAGTAGCCGATAAAACACATGGAAAACACAAGGGGAAAATATGTGTTTGACATTTGCCAAAAGTTTCCGCTTTCTTAAAAAAATAATTAATATCTTACTAATATGTCCTTCATACTAACAGATAATAACAGTAATTTTAACCGAATTTTACTCGAAGAATCCGATCATTACTATTGTCATACAATGAGATATTGACAATTTAGCCATTCGATTATATTGGGCGAAAAGTGAGGATTAAATAGCCCGAATGACGATGAGAGTGAAATGTTAAATATAATTGAAGCGAACGCAATAATTTCATTATAATCGATTTTCCCTTCTACAATCATCCTTGTTTTCTATTGAGTGCAGTGGCCGAACGAGTACATCTACTCTCTCTACTCTCATTGTTAACATAATGCAATTGTTATAAAAAAACAGAATGAAAATCATAATCAAGCTTTTTAATGGGCTGGAAAATTATTTCAAGTTCGACGTAAAAGTGGAATTCCGCGTAAAGAAGAAAAACGAATCACGCATGCGCAAATAATTATCACATTTTGGTCGGTGCATTAGCCGCTAACTTTTAGTTTCCGTCCTTTGGACGATATGTTTTTAAGGAGAGTTAACCGTTAATACGCATAGTCGAGGTTTACATTAAATAATCGTAAAGTGACCATCGTCCATCTCGTTAGTTTTTTTTTTATTCTGGCTGCTCATTGTCTATTGGTGGTACAGTGTCGTCTACCTAATAATTAACATGCGTCTTTCAGCCAATATGGCCACCACTAAGGGTTTTGCTTCTATTCTGCGGTCGACGAATTTGTGTTTAATCGGTCGTAACAAATCACAAACTGTCCAAACCCCAATCTTATCGAGATGCGGCAATTGCAGTCAATTTTATAATTACAGTTCGCAGTCTGTCAATCCGTGGTCTCGATTAAAAACTCAAAAATGTAAGTACAGCACTACTCGGTCTTTTATTTATTACATCACTCCTCAAGGACTTGTAAAATGTTCAAAATCTCTGTGTAATATATTTAACAATATGATTTTTCATAAATTTATCATATCACTCAAGTTAGTAATATTTAGGCATTGAAAAGCTGATATAGCCGGTACACTTTAATTTACCTAACCTATAAGTTTTCCATGTGTTTTTTTTTTTATGGATATTTTTAGCTTCATAAGTTCGTCTTTTATTAGTGTTTTCGATTATCCGTGAGAAAATGATTTTTTTGTTTTTGTTTTTCATTTGGTTCTATAAGTGTTTTATAATTGTTTTTAAATTATCGTGAATCCATTTTATTTGCTAGTTTTTATTTAAAATTTTACGTAAGTTAAATAAAAGGTGCAGTTATAATTTATTTGCTTAGTTTGAAAATATTATAATCAGTCTTATGAATTATAAAAATAATTAATAATTATGCCAGTACATAAGTATGTGAAACGTTCAATTATTATACTACTACCTATTCTACTTAAATTATATTTTGTTTTTTAAAGTGACGTATGCTTATAAAAATTAATCCACATTTTTTTTTTTGGCCATTTAGTTTAATAATATAATACTTCTCAATTATATAACACAAATGTATATACGTATAGGAACACTCGCCTATACGCACGCGTACGTACGCATGCATGCACACACACTACACCATTGTACGTACAACATGCGTGTGTGTATATATATGTATATATATATATATATATATATATATATATATATATATATGTATATATAGGCATACACGCATGTTGTACGTACAACACGTTTATGCATACACTGCAAACAAAATATGACACCATATTTGAGTAAACATTCACTTGGTGTTTTTTAAATGTTTGCAAATTGAATCAATTTTGTCTTGTTATAGAAGATTAGTTATATTATTCATTGTATTTATGCACGCAATAATGTTTATTTTCATTTATGTTATCACTTTATTTCTAAATAAAATATTAATTACAAAATAATTGTATATATTAATCACATTATGTTTTATTTTATTTATACATCATAGATTGCATATCAGGAACTTTGCAAGTTTATAGAAAATTTCATTTATCAAGCGGATTATTTGCAAAGCGAAATTATTATGAAATATTAGGCATTTCGAGAAATTCATCTGCAAAAGATATTAAGAAAGCTTACTATCAGTTGGCAAAGAAATATCATCCAGATACAAATAAAAATGATCCGAATGCTAGTAGAAAGTTCCAAGAGGTATCAGAAGCATATGAAGTCCTTAGCGATGAAACTAAAAGAAAAGAATATGATACATGGGGTGCAACGTCGGAACAAATGGGAATGGGTTCATCGTCTGCATCAGGAAAGAGTCACGATACTCGTGACTTTAATTGGCAATTTAAATCATCCATAAATCCTGAAGAGTTATTTAAAAAGATTTTTGGTGATGCTGGTTTCAATACTGTTGGTGGTTTTCCAGATTTTGAAGACTATGCAGAATCCAAATACGGTTTTGGTTCTGCTCAAGAGGTAAATCTACATTTAATTTGATAGTTGATTAAATGAGAATATTACTACTTATCAATTATTTTAACAGGTGATAATGAATTTAACATTTTCTCAAGCTGCAAGAGGTGTTAATAAAGATATAAATATTAATGTTGTCGATACATGCCCAAAGTGCATGGGTAATAGGTGTGAATTAGGATATAAACCTATAAAGTGTAATTATTGTAATGGAACTGGAATGGAAACAATTAGTACCGGGCCGTTTGTTATGCGTTCTACATGTAGGCAGTGTCATGGTACTAGAGTGTACATAAAATATCCGTGTATGGAATGTGAAGGAAAAGGACAAACAGTAAGTGAAATTTAATTATTTATAAAAATACTTAAATTTTGTATAAAGTATTCAATTTTGTTGACAAAAAATTATATTTATCCACGTGGCGGCTATATTGACTTTTATTTTGAAAATAAAAGCTTCGGTAGATATTAGATATTTTAGTTTTACTCGGTAGCACGCAGTAGTCATTTTATGTTTAAATATTATTTTGAATGATCTTATTAAAAGTCTTGTGAAAGCTCTTGTTAGTTTTGCTATATTAACATTAGTAAGAATACAAATGTCTGGTTATGTCGCAGGTACAACGAAAAAAAGTGACAGTACCAGTACCAGCCGGAGTCGAGGACGGCCAAACAGTGCGAATGGCTGTTGGAAACAAGGAACTTTTTATAACATTCCACGTGGAAAAGTCGAATTATTTTCGCCGTGATGGAGCAGATATTCATACGGAGGCCGACATCTCGATTTCTCAGGCCATTCTCGGTGGCACTATATGTATCGAAGGTGTTTATGAGAACATCACCGTACAAATACGACCGAATACATCCTCGCATACTCTCATACGTCTCGGCAACAAGGGCATTAAGAAAGTGAACACAGTCGGTAATGGTGACCATTATGTTCATATCAGGATTAAACTGTCGTCGTCGCTTAGTGAAAAGCAGCGGGCTTTGATACAGGCTTACGCGGAATTAGAAGAAGATACGCCTGGGCAGGTGTACGGTGTTACCTCTAAAAAGGATGGTAAGAAACATAAGCAGAACAGTTCATGACCATAAGCTTAAATTCCTTGACTCATATCCTCGTTTTTAAAGTAATTTTATTTTATTATGATTCAAGAGAAATATTACTTTACATTTGTAGATTATTATTATAAAAAATGAATATTTCTCATGTTTTATATAAAACTATTTTAAGTTACTTGAATTTGTATAATTTTTTAATTTTGTAACAAGTAAATATTCTTTATGTGCAAATATATATTTCTTTTTTATAGACTAAGGAGCTTCATGAAAAATGTGAAAACTCATTAAAAATTTTTATGTAAACTTGAATAATAATAATCCCATATGTGTAAAAATATAATTAACTGTAGCATAAAAATAGGCTTTTAAAAAACTTTTGTATTTCGATCACGTAATCTAAAACGAAAATGTTATTAACATTAAATTTATTAAATGCTTCTTAAAAATTGATAAATTAAATTAATTGAGAATAATGTTCTTATATCTTTATATTTTTTTACATTTGATTATTTATGAGATTCACGGTGTCTAGGCTTGTACTTCAAACAATGCGCGATTGAAGATTTTGGTAAGAGAAAGAGATTGTTAGAATAAATATTATTGTAGGGATCGCTTGAGTTTCTCCGTTACGTGTAAATGTTGTTACAGTTTAGTTTTGTAAATAAAATACGTTAAAACCAGAAAATGCCTTCTTGTTATCTTTTGTATATGAAGAATTTTTCTAATATGAGTTTTTGCATATATTTTATTTTAAAATAAATATAAATAATCAATAGATTATACATAGATGATTATCTATTTTGAAATAATCAATAAATCTTATGTATGAGAAAATATATGTTTAATAAAGAATTTGTTAAAACAGTTTAATGTAGTTTTTGGTATTTAAATATTAACCTTTACGTTTGACGTGAAAATTCGTCAAATATTTTACTTTTTAACTTCCAACCGAATATTTCATTTTATGTTAGGAAAATTATTGCAGTTTATAAAAATTTATAATGTATAATTAAAAAAGTATACAAGTCTTACTTATTATTAATTCGAACTAATCATTACAATTTCAAAAAAATTAATAATAATAATGCATATTACTGATAAAATAACAGAACATTATTTACATTTTAAACGAATTATATATTGCATTAAAGCTATTTGAAAAATATATTTGATTTTAGAAAAATTCCAATTTCAATTTATATGGCGTTTTCTGAACGATATATTAATAAATATATATATATATATATATATATATTTTTTTTTTTTTGTTGTTGTTGTTGTTAATTATTGAGTTAATTAACATAACTTTATCGTTGGTATATTCATTTGTTTCATTTATGAGATCGATTAATTTTTTAGGCACGTCGACGCAAACTCAAGCGAATCCAGAAAATCAAACAAATCAAGGGGAAGGCTTACTTAATAGGGTGAAGAGGGCGATTTTCGGATAAACTAGAAATATTAGGTGAGTGAATTCACCTTTGCGGTTCTCGAAAACTAAATGCAGTTCTGTTCCATGATAATTTTTAATTAGCCAAATAATTTTGCTTTTATTGCAACATTAATTATGTCCCAAATTAAAAAATAAGTGATTTACAAGAAGTGTATTTAATTTAGTATTTTGTTTTATTAATAAATTATTTTAAGTACATTTATCCATTATTTGCAGTAATCAATTATATTTTAGCTACTTGATGTGCATTGTTGTAATGAAAATAATGTCGATAATGAATGTAATAACGAAAACAATGAGGAATTTTGTCTTTTGTCTTTTTTTTTACTTACTTACTTGCGCTAGATAAAATCATAAAAAAATATAGTTTAGTGATAAAGTACTAGGAACTACTACGAATAATCGTGATCGAAAGGATGTAGTTTTTTTTTTTTTTTAGTAAAATGTAAAATAGATAATCGACGTATTGATATTTCTTTAATATGACTAATAAATAATTTACCGTATATGATATTAGTTTGCTTGAGTTTAACGAAATGATTCATTACTCAACTGTGTCGAATTCGCATTCTTAGAATTCAAATAACAATTACTCGGTATAATGCTTGTTTATTTAGTGTATTGTAAAATGATAAAAATCAATCGATTTATCAGTCATTTTATATTTAGTTATAATCGCTCCATATGGTGTATGTATAGGTAAAAAGTAAATCAAATTTATTTAATAATTTTTGGTATATCAGTCGCTCTAATTGTATTCGGGTTGAAATTTTTTGAAAATTCGTTTTTATAAAAGCAAAAGAAATTTAAGCAAGTTACTCGTAATAAACGAAATACAAGTACAACTTTAGTAAGTAAGATTCAGTGAATTTTATACGTACATTCAACTCATTGGATCGTTGAATATTATAAAAATACTAAATAATTAGGTAATCTATTATCAAATTCAGTTATATGCACCTACTTACTTGCCCATAGAAATTATCATGCACGATTAATGAAAAATTATCTCTTAAAAATTAAGTAAATAATGAATTGAAATTCATTGGCCGAATTAAACAAATATACTTTTATTATTATATTGCATTTATAATAAGTAGAAATTTGGTAAGAAATCCCAAATATTTGTTTGGCATTTAAAGTGTTGAAAGAAATAAAAACCTTAAAACAAAAAATTAAAATTTTGACATCTTGTTTCTGTAAATCTGCTCAAACTTCTATTTCATTACTACATAAGTAAATATTATTTCATAATTAAAAAAAAAAAAAAAAAAAAAAAGTTTATTTTTATACTTGCTGAGTCGATGAATCTTTGTTGTGTTACTACACGCTTATATATTGTAAGCTGTATTCTCAAGATTATTAAGGGGGACAATGTTAAAAATTTAACACGTTATCCCGAATGCACGAAGCATTACATTTTTTGTTTGATTCGCTTTTACTTTTTCATACAGAGGTTTGAAATTGGGCCAAGCCAATGATAATAAGCAGTCAGGAATTCAATATTGTTTAGGTAAGCCGTTAATTAACTAAATAAGCCCTCCCACCCCAACCCTTTTTTTCTAAAAAATATTTTAAGATAAATTGGTTTTATCTTGATCCATTGTTAAATTATTTTTCTAATTCTCATCGTCATGTAAAATAACTACGATGCTTCAATTTAACAAAGTGAATTACGACTTTGGTGCACTCGTGTGTTTGTAACAATACACTATTAATTTGTGCACTAACAGAAAATAATTTTGTCATTAATTTTTTATTGTATTGTATTGTATTGTACCAATAATAATTGCTCAAAAATGATTGTCGTCTGCATACTCGATTCGTTACTCTAAAATCATATATAATATTAAATAGATATATAGATTATTGTTATGAATGTTTTTATTTATTAATTACGTCTTTTATTTATCGTCGCTCTAAAAAGTTATTACTAAATTATTATAAAATTAAAACTGTTCCAGGATCAAAACAATGTTACTTAGAGCCATTTGATCTAATGGATTTGATAAGAGAAGCATTAAATAGTAATGAATCGACGAAAAAGAAAGAGAAATCCTCACGAACGAGTGATCCTTCGGATAAATCACTAGACGCTTCGGATGACGACGATGAAAGTGCAAGACAAAAAATGTCTTAAAAAAAAATGCATACGCACTTAAATGTATATGGATAACTCTTGGGAATACAAAATATTGGTTTGTACGTGATAAATGTATACGTGACCATAAACATAGAACCTCCAAAGATTTATATAATATATCGTTCAATGCTTTTATTATCAAAGTAAATAAGGAACAATTGCTTAAAAAAAAAAAAAAACAAAAAAAAAATGAAACAAAGAGAACAGCTATCTCTTATTTAAATTGTATAATAATAATAACAATAATAATAATAATAATAATGTTGTAAAAAAACAATTAAATTGAAAATTAATATTTTAATAATAAAGTTAATTTTACATTAAATGTATCAGCAAATATATATTGTTAAAATTTAATTTGATTCAAAATTTTATTATTTAAAATATGTATTTAACGTGTAATTTAAATGAAAGATTAATTTAATTTATATTTGTATAATATTATAAACTAAGGTTTAGACTTTTGTTATAGATGGCTGTTCTTTTTCAACAATTACATAAAGATTAGTAGCGAATAGTAATATTATTCTCTCATATGTATGATTACCATACGATTGATTTGTAGTTAAAAATACTTTTACCTATGGATAAAAATAAATAAAACAAAGAAAGCGGAAATTTTGTTTTATATTTTTTGCTTTTTATGTCTTACAATAATTGCACACTGCTGTGTTTCTAACTAAAGTTGATGGATTTGTAAATCTATCATTGTATATATTAGCAAAGCCAATTATACAAACCATAATTATCATACAATATAGTTGTGTATAGTAATGAAGTTATACAAGCAGCAAATAATTTTGATAATTTTGGTAATTTTCTGAACAAATTATAGAAATTTAAAGAAATTACATTATTGAAACGAATCACATTATTCAAATTGAATATGAAAAATTCAATGAAATATTAAAAAAATAATAATAATTTAATACGTAAACAATTAATGGAAAAATCATAATTTAGAACTATTTAATTGCTTACGTCTTTCAATTAAAACTGATACAGTTGATTGACAATTTTTCTTATATGTTTTTTCATTAACATGAAATCAACGTTCAGAGAAGTTTTCGAATTCATCAACATTATTTAAAATAATAATTTTGCTTAACTATACATATTGCGTTGGTATTCAGAATTTATTGGCAAAATAAACTATTTGGTATATTTGACATTTATTCTTTTAACTCATTGTTGAGTAAAGTGAAAATAACTAACTGTTGAATTAAATAGTGTGTATTGATTATTATTAATTGTAAAAAATTCTTACATCAATATTGACCTAATTTTTAGAAACATATAAAATATGTAAGTAACAGAGTTTATTTGTATTATTTAATTGAAAGTGATAAACAAATATACAAAACCGACAATTTTTATAATAATATTCACAATTATAACTAATTTGTAATTATTACAATGGTTACGGGTCTAACTTTATAGTTAAAATAAATAATGTAAACATTTTTAAAAAGTTGACAATTCGATGTTAAGTATTGATGGAATATTCTTAAATTAATTAAAAATGTTTAAATTTTTATTATTTTTCATTTATAAAAAATTGACAAATTTTATTTACAATATTCATAGGTTTAATTTTCTTATTTTCAAAATGTCTTGAAAGTATCTTTTAGTATTGTGCACATTAACATGCTGAGGTAATCATATTTTGAAGGTTTTTATCGATCTTAAAAATAAAAAGTATTATGAATAAACTAACATGCTTGAAGCTTAATTTGATCTGAAAATATTGCTATATATTTTTAAGTTTTCATTGATAAGTTGATGTATCAATTACTGTTAAAAAAAAGTTTATAGCAAAGTTCCACCACTGTATACTTATAAATACTTAAATTACATATGAATCTCGAAATTTTTCTGTTAATAAATAAAATAATTATCAAAAAAATATAATTTACATTCTTATAGATGTTATCATTTCCTATAGAAATTCTTTTTTATATAATTTTGTCAATACTAAATATTAAGAAATTACACTTTATTAAAAAAAAAAAAAAAAAAAAAAAAAAAAAAAAAAATAAAAAAAAAAAATAAATAAATAAATAAATAAATAAGATATCTTTTTTATTTAAAAGGAAGAATGAAATAAAACATCTATTCGTATTTATTATATACATCATTTAAATTATGAACTTTTTTTTTCATAATTATGATAAATAATAATATAGTCACATCATTTTCTCATGATGCTATTTTGTAAAAGGTATTTTTTAATTGACTTACAATAACACATGAAAACTCGCATCTTTATGCGTATGATTTAAAAAATATACACAATAATTTTACACTATTAATTTATAATGATAACGAAATTGAAAGAGCAAGTAACATTTTTAAGTTGAAATTATGAAATATTGTTTGAAATCATAAAAAGGACTAATGAAATATGAATGATAAGTTAAATATCAACTAAATTAAAATTTTTGCAAACTTGACATTTTTGTTGAGTATAGCCTTTGTAAATATAGAGATTTTGCACTATATAATCGATATTCTATTATATTTTAATGATCTTTAGATATAAATTTAATTTAAAAATCTCAATATTTTAACTAATTCTATTTCTAATAATTTAATTGTTCATTTATATTTTATTAATGCAAAATTATAAATATTAGCATAATTTGTAGAACTGATTTCTAAACATTTATTTTAGTCTACTGGAAACATATATAATTATTAAAGAAGCTTCGTTATATTTAAATTCAATGTACCTGTGCTTTAAAGTTTAAAGCAATTTGTGTCTAAGATTCTGACCATTTTCTACGATTTATTTATTAACATTTTCACTGATAGACACGTATTTATTTTATAATGTTTAGCGAATATGTATACAATTGATTTGAGAAGTTTGAAAATCATATGAATTATCGATTAAAAATTAGTAGGTTCAATTGTAAATAAATTTTAATACAAATTTTTGTTACTTTCTTAAATCTTATTGCATATTTGTAATGCCTCTTATTTTATATGGTGTATGATGAGTATGTAAATGTGAGTGACTGTAATATCAATAATCGTTTATATATGAGTAATATGATCTTTATAAATAGATATTACGGGATACACTGTTAGAAGGGTATAAAAGGAAAAAATAATTTTTTCTCATTAGATATGAATTATCGTGAAGTTTGCGACAATTGAAAAACGGATTAAAATTTAAAATATTTAATTTACCGAATTAATTTTGTTATTTAACCAATGCTGTAATAAATGGAAAAATATATACGTAGTCCAAATTGTCAAATTGATCTCTTTGAAATATTTGTAAGTGAATCCATATACCCGTTTCCCTGAAGCTTGCAAATTATCCTTACGCGCCCGTTAATACAGTGTTTCCTTTTTATTCTCTCCCCCCCTCCCCCTCCCC